CCAGGCCTTCATTATGAAGCAGTTGCTTATTTTTTTAATGGGTGATGGTGGTTCTTCTTTATTCTTCCCCCAGTTATAAAAAGGAGCCAAGTGGAGAGATGAGTGCTGCTCCTCTTCTTTCACCTTTCCCGACCCACCAACTGATAGTTGGGACCTGCTCCCTTTCCTGTAAACATACAGGGCCACACAGAGAATCAGGGAGATACTACCCCTAGAGCAGGCTCTCTTGGTGGCACCACATTTGCTGGCTCTCCACACTAGGAGTCCCCCATGACCTTACTATGTGAAGCAGAGCAGCTTCAACCATGTATCTTATTCTCACTAGTTTCTGGTTTTAGCTCAGTCCCTAGTTGGGCCCATTACAGTCTTCAAAATGGTTCATCCTAAACAGAGAATTAAGAAAGAAATTGGGGGATGGGTCTCTAAAAAGCTATGGAAAACTTTTCACCTCTTCCCTTCCATGTCTGCAGAGAGGGAGACAGTCTAGCTGAGCAGGGTTGTTGAGGACAGGGCATTGTGGACATCACTCATTCATAGAGTCGCCAGAAATTGGAGCCAACTCAACTGCATGTAACACACACACACACACGAAAGTTATTTTGCCAAGTTCAAACATTCCAAAGTTTCAAAAACCAAGACAGTTCCTCTGAAATAGCTGTCCTGACTGTATTTTTAAATGGATCCACTTATGCCAACATTTAACATAATAAACTGGTACTCTAATAGGTAAAACGTTTTTCTGAGTTCTGTGAGCTTCTATAACAAATTGATCAAACCCTAGGAAGGAGGTTATGGAAACTCTGAATCCATTGCCAGTCAGTCAGAAGCACAGGTGACAACCCAGACTTGCAACTGGTGTCTAAAGGTGGGAGGTGAAGTCTTTGTAGCACTTAGCCCTTAACCTGTGGGATCTGATTCTATCTCCAGGTAGACAGTGTCTGAATTGACTTAATTGCTTGATAGTATTGGGAAAAAACAAACAAATAATAAAAAACACACATTGGAATTTTCAACACCAGCCCATCCCCACTCCTGCCAGAACTTGGGAAGTCCTATACGCTTAGTTGGTAATGCCAACTCCACAGTGATGTCTTTCAGTCTGTCAGAACTGCTGGGCAATTTCTCCCTAAATGCAAACAAATACTGGCTAATTTCACCTGGCGTAATGTCCTCAAGGTTCATTCATGTTGTTATGTGTCAGAACTTCCTTCCTTCCTTCCTTCCTTCCTTCCTTCCTTCCTTCCTTCCTTCCTTCCTTCCTTCCTTCCTTCCTTCCTTCCTTCCTCTCTCTCTCTCTCTCTTTCTCTCTCTCTCTCTTTCTCTCTTTCTCTCTTTCTCTCTTTCTCTCTTTCTTTCTTTCTTTCTTTCTTTCTTTCTTTCTTTCTTTCTTTCTTTCTTCTTTCTCTCTTTCTTTCTCTCTTTCTTTCTCTCTTTCTTTCTCTCTTTCTTTCTCTCTTTCTTTCTCTCTTTCTTTCTCTCTTTCTGTTAATTCTCACCCAAGGATAATTTTTCCATTGATTTTTAGAGAGTGGGAGGGAGGGGAGGAGGGAGGCAGAGAGAAAGAAAGTGAGAGAAAGAGAAAACATCGATGTGAGATGTTTGCCTGGTTGCTTCCCTCATGTGCCCCAACCGGGGTCAGGGATCAAACCTGCAGCCCAGGTATGTGCCTTTGACCAGGAATCGAATCCACAACCCTTTGGTGCACGGGCCAATGTTCTAACCACTTACCTACACCAGCCAGGGAAGATTTTTTTTTTCCTTTTTAAGGCTGAATCATATTTCCTTATATGGGATAGACCATATTTTTTTTATCCATTCATCTGTCAACAGATACTTGGGTTGCTTCCATCTTTTTGCTATTGTGAATAATGCTGTTATGAACATGGACGTATAGGTATCTGTTTGAGTTCCTGTTTTCAATTTTTGGAGGAATATACCCAGAAGTGGAATTTCTGGGTCATATGGTAATTTTAGGTTTAGTTGTTTTGGGGAAGTGCCATACTGTTTTCTATAACAAAAAAATATTTAATTATAAAAGTTATTTGAAAAATACTCATGATCTTAAACAAAATCAAATAATGCCAATGGAAGTTAAGTTTAAAGTGAAAGTACCCTTTTTCCATTCCACTTCATAAATAGTCACAGGTACTAGCAGTATATTGTGTATCTTTGTAGAAACTTCCTAAGGATATACAAGCACATGAACATACATAGTTTTCCCTCCTATGCAAACAAGTCCTGCTAAAGAATGTTCATAATTTATTTTCCTAACAATACATTTTTAGTGGAGACATACAGAACATAAAAACCCCCATTTAAATGTGAGCATACTCATTGTGTTCTGTACCATCACCACTGTCTAATTCCAGGACAGTTCCATCGTCCCCAAAAGAAACTCTTCAGCTATTAGCAGTCAGTCCTAATTCTCCCTCTTCCCCACACCCTGGCAACTACTATTTCCTGCCTTTATGAATTTACTATTCATCTGTTGATGGACTTGGTATTGTGTAGCATTATGAACAATGCTGCTGTAAACATTCACATGCAAGTTTTTGTGTGGATGTATTTTCATTTATCTTGGGTATATGCTTAGGAATAGAATTGTTATGTCATGTGGAAATTTTATACTTAACTTTTGGAGGAGCTGCAAAGCATTTTTTCCACAGTGGTTTCACCATTGTAAATTCCCACCAAAAATGTATGAGGATTCCAATGTATTCATATCATCACCAACACTTATTCTTTTCTACTAAAAAAAATTATAGCTATCTTAGTGAGTGTGAAGTGCTATATCTCATTGTGATTTTGATTTGCATTTTCCTGACTAACAATGTTGAGCATCTTTTCATGTGTTTATTAACCATTTGTATTTTTTATTTGGAGAAATGTCTATTCAAATCCTTTGTCTATTTCCAAATTGGGTTGCTTGTCTTTTTGTTGTTGAGTTGTAAGAGATTTAAAAATGTATTCTGGATAGTAGATCCTAATCAGATATATGATTTGCACATTTCTCTACCATTTTGTGGGTTGTGTTTTCACTTCCTTGTTGGTGTTCTTTGACCCAAAGAGTTTTTAATTTTGGTTAAGCCTAATTTGTTTCTTTTATTGTTTGTACTTTTGGTTTCAAATGAAGAAACCATTCCCTGATCCAAGATCACACAGATTTACACTTGTGTTTTTTCCTAATAATCTTTGTTTTTACATTTAGGTCTTTGATCCATTTTGAGTTACTTTTGTGTATAGTGTAAGGTAGGAGGTCCAAATTAATTAATTAATTAATTTTTTTTTACATATGGATATCCAATTGTCCCAGTAGCATTTGTTGAAAAGATTCTTCTTTCCTCCTTTGATTGGTCTTGGAACTATACATTTTAGGCATAAATTCATACATATACATATAAAAATGTCTCCTATTCTTATCAATATTATTATTTTAAAAATTTATCTTTATTGTCGAAAGTATTACAGATGTTCCCTCCCATTGACACCCTCCTCCCTGATTCTGCACCCCCTGCCTTTACCACACTGCTGTCTGTGTCCATTGGTTATGCCTATATCTATACAAGTTCTTTGGCTTATCTCTTTCCATCCCCTACACCCCTATACTCCCTAAGAGTTTTTTTCAGTCTGTTCCCTACTTTCATGTCTCTGCATCTGTTTTGTTCAACAACTTATTTTGTTCATTAGATTACACAAATAAGTGAGATCATGTGATACTTGTCTTTTTCTGACTAGCTTATTTTGCTAAGCATAATACTCTCCAAGTCCCTTCCATGCCATCTCTAAGGGTAAGAGATCTTTCTCTTTTATAGCTGCATAGTATTCCATTGCGTAAATGTACCACAGTCTTTTCAATATTAATAACGTATATTATTTTTAAAGTACTTTTCATAGTAAATCATTCACCTAATCAATATGTATTTACTGAAAGTCTGTGCTACTAGCCTCTGGGCATACAGATCTGAACAGGACTGACACAATTCTTGTCCTCAAGGAGTCTACATTCTAGAGGAGACACAAGCAATGAATTATCAAGGAAAGGGACAAATAAAAACAACTGCAATTAAGAGCTATAATAAGAAACGAAGAAGTGGAGAATAAGGGTCTGGGTAAGGGTGTACTTTGAATTAGAAGGCCAGCTAAGATTTTCCAGAAGAATCAAAGACCAGTTGTGCAAAGCGTCTGAAGCTGGAACTAGCTTGGCCAGTTGGAAGAACTGGGAAAAAGATGGGGGCAGTGAGATTGTAGAGTAAGGGCTAATGCAGTGAGAAATGAGGACAAAGAGGTATGCATTGAGGGTGATACCAGCAAGGCCATCAAAGAAATGAGGAGCATGGAGAAGAGCATAATTAGATTTGCATTTTTGGAAGATCACAGAAGTCTGCCTTGTAGAGAATAGATTGAGTAGAGGGGATGGTGCATGGAGGCTGAAGACCAGGTATGGAGTTATTTTCCTAAGAACGCAGAAGTGAAATAGAGTTTGAACATGTATTTGGAAGTGTAGACAGGGGTTTAGTCAGGGAGGTGCTAAGAAAGGGCTCTGCAAGGAGGTCTATGACTACAGGCCAGTGATGGGACACTTCACAGTTTGCGAGCTGCCTGAGGAACTAGGTGTTCCAACCCTGGCTCTCCCAGCTCCTGGTTGTGAGATCTCTGGCAAGGGTCCTCCATCTATCTCTCTATGCCTCAGTTTTCGCACACTTGTCAGTGTGAAGGCTGGCGGCTGCAATTATTAACGCATTACCCAGATGAAAAAGGCTAGCCTGTTTCCCCTGAGAGGTAGGGGAATCTCTATCCAGGTCCCTGGGGCCACACGGGCGTGTCCCTGACGTCACGCAGCCCCAGAAGCCACACGCCCCGCCCCGTGGCTCACGCGCACGCGCGGCTCCGGGCCAAGCTGGGCGCAGGGCTTTGGCGCCGACTGGCCGGGGCAGCCACAAGGCGTCGCGCATGCCTGGGTGGGGCGAACCGCGCTTCCTCTGAGCGGCGGTTACGACGCCGCGGCTGGGCCCAAGATGGATCTCTCGGCACTGCTAGCCGTCCCGACCCCGCGCTCAGCCCAACATGGCGGCGGCGGCAGCCCCAGCCGACTCTGCCGAGGTCCAGGGCCACCACCCAGCCTGGGCCCCGCGCGCCGCCGCCTGCTGCTGCTGCGGGGTCCCAAAGATGGCGGGTCGGGCCCGGGGCGAGGGGAGGCCCGGGAAGTGGCGGCAGGCCCCGGGCCGAGCCCGCCGCCCCTCGAGGATGGCGGCGACTCCTTCGTGGTGCTGCTGGAAGCGCCGAGCGATGCCGCGGGCGAGGCCTCCGGGCGGCAGGAGGCCGAGTCCGGCGTCGACGTGAGTCCTGTTGGCCGGCCCCAGCAGGGCTCCAGCGGCGCTGGCTCCGCCCCTGATAGTGGCGCGGCCCTCGCGAACACCGTCACCATCAGCAGCCAGGACTTGCTGGTGCGCTTCGACCACGGTCTCTTCACCCTGACCACCGCGCAGCCGCCGCCACCCGGCCTGTCGCCCCGGGGCCCGCCCGTGCAGCCAGCCGAGGAGGCCGCGAGTCCAGCCGAGGGCCGCCGCGGGCCCCTGGGCCCCGGCACGCTTGGCTATCGCTGCCCCGAACCTCAGTGCGCGCTCTCCTTCTCTAAGAAGCATCAGCTCAAGGTGCACCTGCTGACGCACGGCAGCAGCCAGGGTCGTCGGCCCTTCAAGTGTCCCCTGGACGGCTGCGGCTGGGCCTTCACCACCTCCTATAAGCTTAAGCGGCACCTGCAGTCGCACGACAAGCTGCGGCCTTTCGGCTGCCCGGTGGGTGGCTGCGGCAAGAAGTTTACCACGGTGTACAACCTCAAGGCGCATATGAAGGGCCACGAGCAGGAGAACTTATTCAAGTGCGAGGTGTGCGCGGAGCGCTTCCCTACGCAAGCCAAGCTCAGCTCCCACCAGCGCAGCCACTTCGAACCCGAGCGGCCCTACAAGTGTGACTTTCCCGGTAACCAGGGCCTGCGGGCGGGCTGCAGTGGGTGGAGAGGATTCCTGGGCCCCAGGTCCAAATTCAGTCGTTCAGAGTGGGTGCGTCGGCTGTGCAGGGTTTAAACTCGGTAGGCCAAGTATGAGGGGTGATAACGGAAACGCTCCTGTGTCTGGTGTTTGTGTTCTAGTTCTGCCCAGGGCACCTGAACCCTGCATTGCTGTGGGGATTACAACATTGAGGTAGCACAAATAATCACAGTTGTCCTTTCCCATGGTGGTGGCAACAGATCTTTTTGAAGGTGCTTCTGGTTAGTAAAAGAAATAATGCATCGTCCCAGAGATTTGTTATGAGGCAAGTCTTTATTTTCCTCCGTTTCATCCTTTAGAAATACTCCTCAGATATATGTGGGGCATACACTCAGTGCTGGAGGAAAAACAGATGGGTGTAGCACAGATTCTTTGCCTTTTCTTCTTTTCTTTGGACTTCACAGTTTTGTCAAGTTCTTAAAATTATCCTTATTTTATAGATGAAGTGACTGAGGCTGACCAATGTGGAAAAGAAATCCAGTGGTGGTTCTTTTTCCACAGTGATTGCCTGCAGCGGTGAAAAATAAGGCTTCAACACAGTAAACTCTTTACCAGGATAGGGGGTGTAGGTGCTCTAAGATAGAGACAGTGCCTCAAGGGAGGAAGGGAAGATTCCTTCCTGGGAAGGAGTTGGCTTGGGGGAAGTGGGGTAGAGGCATTGCAGATGGTAAAATCAAGGCAGGGAATATGGGTTGTGGTGAGAGTGTGGGAGGGCCAAGCAGAGAGTGAATGACCTTCCACCATCAATTCATTAAAACAAGGCAAGCATACACCTGGCATGAGCCCCACGTGTGTATTGGCATGTTATATACATTCAGTGTTCTCCTAATGTATATGTTATAAAATATACTCAAGTATAGGGATTTTGAAAGAGTGAAATGAAAAACAAATCTAGTGTTTTCTTCCTACATGCTGTAGATTGTTTTGTGTGTCCGTCTTTGTGGAGAACATGGCTTTAGACCACTGATTAGAAACATTTTTCAGTCATACACTCTGGAAATCTGACAGTGGCCGAAGACTGCTTCCTAGTAAAATGCAGAGAGCATGATTCTGAGTCTAGTAGTAGGAAAATGAGGGATCCAGCCTGCCTTAGGGCATAAGGCCTTGGTTTTGAGCTAGATGATCAGTGGGTTGTCCGTTTGCAAGATGAGTAGAAGCAGGAGAGGGATCAGTTAAGCCCCAAGAAATGTTTCAGATATAAGTTTCCTTAGGGCTGATCTAGGCAGTGTCATTGGGAATGGTGAGGCGGCAGATGCAGAGGCAGAATAAAGAGCTGGGTTATGGATGGGAGGAGGGTGGTTCATTCTCATGTAGGCAGACATTCAGCATGCTCAGATTTACCTGACCAAGTGTATGACTATACAGAAGCCCCAAACAGAGAAAGGTGGGGTGTGTGTGTAGGGGAGGGGGGCGAGGAGATTTATGGCAAAGAGGGTATTTTACCAGTTCAATGTGGACAGGAGGAACAGGGTTCCTTGGACCAGTACTTTCATGTGATGCTGTGCAGTGTGTATTTACTGGGTGGTTTACAGGCACTAGGGTAGCATGTTAAAGAGTCTGAGAAGAGCCTCTATGCCTGATATTTTCTACCCTATTTGAGTATGTGATGTTTTTGTCGAAGGAGTCTAGGATTTGCTCAGGTAGGCCCCTTTGGCTGGTGGCTCAACTGGGGGCTGAAGATGGAGGTTATGGAAAAGACCATGTGAGTGAAGATGACCCCATTAACCTCCTTTGACAGAGCAGGGAGCGTTGAGGAAATGGGCAAAAGGAAAAAGAGAAGCCAGATGTCAGAGGTGGGGGCTGCCAGTTGCAGAGGATGTCAGGGGTACATTTATAAGTAGAGAAGATGTAGTATTGCTCCAAAGGATTAAAAAGTCTCAGATATTACAATAGTTTGTGGCCCTTTCCAGCTCAACCCTAACAAAGTCTTGTTCTTTAGTACCTAATTTGTCACTGGATTTTCATGGGTCTCACACCAGCAACATTAACATTTGAGTTCACAAAATGTATACAAAATCTGTGCCACAGAACCGGGAGCAGATGGCTGTGACTGGAGGACTTTTCTTTGATCAGGTCCTTCATCTCTAAGTCACATCAAAACAGGTGCCTTGTGTGTGCTTGTTGGCTGCCTTTGTCACCCCTACATTAACTATTACAAAGCCAGATGTCAATGGTAGTAACTTACCAGAGGTGCTTCTGAGTCATTTTATTCCTAGTCTGCTTCGGTGCCAGCAGTTTCCTGAATGGTGGCTAGTGTAGCTGCCTTCTGTGATTTTTGCCACTCCAGTGAGCAGGTTTGTGTTTTCTTTATTCAGGCTGCGAGAAGACCTTCATCACGGTGAGTGCTCTGTTTTCCCATAACCGTGCCCACTTCAGAGAACAGGAGCTCTTTTCCTGCTCCTTTCCTGGTTGCAGCAAACAGTATGACAAAGCTTGTCGCCTGAAAATCCATCTGAGGAGTCATACAGGTAATGAGCTAGAGAATGCAATGTCATTTGGACCCAAGATTTGCCTTTGTAGTAGCTTGCATTTATAATATATGGTGTAACCTTTTCTTTTCTAAGGTGAAAGACCTTTTATTTGTGACTCTGACAGTTGTGGCTGGACCTTTACCAGCATGTCTAAACTCCTGAGACACAAAAGGTAATCTATACATTTTGGTTGAATTATGAGTTTTGAAAATGAATGAATTATTTCTTAGTAGCAGACGCTACTGGATAAACTATCTGTAGATATTTAAAAGTTATCTGGAAAACCCAATTTGAAAAATTCAGAAAGCTATAAGAATGAGAATCTTATCACCTAAATGAGAATCTGATCACCTAAAGTCAGTTTTTTCTTGTGTATACTTGCTTTTAAATTTAATTGGTACCCTTTATGTACAATTCTATATTTTTAAGAAAATTATTGTGTGGAATAAGTTTTCCTCATGTCAGTACAAACTTTCTATGGTGATAATGATGACCTTGAAGGGCTTAGCCTACACGAAGGTGATGCTCAACACTTCTTTGTATCTCATTTAATCTTCACAACAACTCTGACTTTGATGTTCTTCTGTTTTGCAGTGGGACTAAGAGCTTGGGTGGTTTGTCTACATTTGTACAGCTGGGGTTTGGGGGGTTTAATATAAAAATGTTACTCAGGAAAAGACAGTGTTTATGCATGGACTTGAGAAGATCATTTTAGCATTGCATTGGATTTTCTGTGCACATTTCCTGTTGCCCTCTGTGAGTTGGAAAACTTGTTTATTATTGGGATTCCTAAACAGTGAAAGCAGTTTTATCAATACTCTGGGACTTAGCTGTTTCTAGATTGAAGCAGCACTGATTTTTTTGCATCTGACTCTGGGGTCAACTAGGTCATTAAAGTAGAATTTCTAATTACAGGGTGGCTAAACTGCAATCTGCCCTTGTGGGATTGTGGGCTAGAGATATAATTAAGATTTTCTGAAATGTACTGGTTATTATTATTATTTTTTAACGCAAAGAGTTGGTAGTTTGGTATATTTTACAGAATTTTAAATCACCTCTGGGTTGTGTGAGTAATTAGTGTCATGTCTTTCTGTTCTGGCAGGAAACATGATGACGATCGGAGGTTTACCTGCCCTGTTGAAGGCTGTGGGAAGTCATTCACGAGAGCAGAGCATCTGAAAGGCCACAGCATCACCCACCTGGGCACAAAGCCATTCGAGTGTCCTGTGGAAGGTAGAATTTAATACGTTACTTTGAGCTATAAACTAGCACTATGTCCACATTGATGTTGTAATTTTTAGCTGTTTAAAGGTAAGTTTTAATTGCTTAAAGACAAGGTGAGTGTAAGTTGTAGTATTAGATTTACTTGGATTTTAGCTAATTGCTGTATCTTGGGAGTACTGTATTGGAAAGAATAGACTTCAGAATCAGACCTGGTTTGACTGGTGGCCCTGCAGGGCACTTGTGAGGATTAGGTGAAATAACGTGAAAAATGCCTATTTTGGCATCTGGCACACATCATGGACTCAGTAAATGGATGTGAATGATGCTGTGATTAGACAATAGTAAAGTTAGGCTGGCTTTCTAAAAAGGTAATACTGTACTAGGAATTTTTTTTGGCTGTGCTGGCCTTACTCTAGTGTTGCAGAGGCACTGGGGGTGGCAGAGCCAGGTCAGTTTATAGTTGTGAATTTGAATCCTAGCTCTACCCTTCCCTAAGTTGGTGATCTCTGGGCCTAAGTTTTCTTATTTGGAAAAGGAGTTAATAAAGACCCATTTGAAGCTGAAATTAGTTCCTATAAGGTAATGAATGTAATACAGATAGTTTAACCAAGACACAGTTCTCTTCATCATAGCTCTGTTGGGGTATGACAGATAAACAGGTAACATGTAGAAGTCACCCACACTGTCTCTAGGGCATGGGAATGACCTCCCAGTCAGCTGAAGAATGAGGAAGAGCTAGCCAGGGGTGGGAGTGGCAGAAAGGCCAACGTGGGGAGGTCTTCCAGTGCCATAGGAACAGCAGGTTTTTGAGTGCTTGGAGCAGGCGAGTGATGGGCTCATATCTGAGTTTAGGCTCAGTCTGGTTTCCTGGAGAGATGGTCTGATGCCTTGACTGGGGTTTGGCAGTAGGAAGGGAGACAAGGCATAGATGAAAGAGATAGGGGTTAGAATTAACAGTGCTTGGTGAGGAATTTGGAAGATGAGGGTTATGAGAGAGGCAGTAGTTTGGGTCAATATCTCAGTTTAGAGAGGGAATATAGGGCAGGGAGTTGCAGGAAAAGGAGTTTGGTTTGGACATAACTGCATTTTAAGTACCTATGGTCTTCCAAATGCAGATACTCAGCGGGCAAAGTGCTGTACTGCTGGGGCTTGGTGAGTAGGTGGGCTGGAGTGAGGCAGGCAGCATACCAGTAATCATTTAAGACATAGAAATGGGTTTAATTCTCAAGGAACAGTGTATAGTTGACCCTTGAACAACATGGGTTTGAACTGTATGAGTCCAGTTACATGCAGATATTTTTTCAGTTGACTGCAGTTCATTTGATCAACAGAGTTCAAACCCATGTTATTCAAGAGTCAACTCTGCGGTTGACACTATGCATACTTGGAGGGCTGACTGTAGTCATGCGTGGATTTTCGACTAGATAGGAGGTCAACCCGCCTAACACTGCATTGTTCAAGTGTCAGTTGCAAATCGAAGAGAGGCAGTGTAGTGATTAAGAGTGTGAGTGCTAGATTTAAATCCCAGGTCTGTCTGCCCTTAAGTGGCTCTGTGACCTTGGACAAGCAGCTCAAGCCTTCTGTGCCTCTTTTTCTCATCGTTAAAGTGGTAATAAAACCTCATGGAGTTGTTGTGAGAGTTCAGTTGATTAGTAGGTTTAGTTAAGGCACATATAAACCATCAGAAAAGGTCACCTACTGCTGTTATGATTGTTATTAACGAAAGAAGGTCTAGGACAAAACCTTGGGGACTGCCACAAATTCAGGTGAAAAGCAGAGGAGGACCCTGGGAGGAGCCTCAGAAGAAATGGCAAGAGTGGTCGAGTTAGTGGCACTGAGGCTAAGAGAGTAGGATGTTTGGGAAAGGAAGGGAATCAGTTCCAACTGCTGAGGTGTGGCGGGTTGATGAGGAATGTGTGGGGGCTCCTCTGGAAGGCAGGGTCATTGGGTCTCCCCGCTTTGGAGCAGGGTTTGAGGTTCAGTGTTGTAGCTGGGGCAGAGCTCTGCTCTGGTACCTGAGAGGTGGGCTAAGGTGAGGGTGGAGATGGCTTGTACTGTCCATCCCTCTTTTAGAGGTTGAAGGAAAGAGGAGAGGGCAGTTGCTGACAATGATAGAGGTAGAGGAATGCAGGTAATGGGAGGGGTGATGGGGCTTTGGCTGGTTGAGAGTGCTCTTCTCGGGGAGTGGTGGTAAAGGGCAGGAGCTTGGTGGAGGGATCCCAGAGCCCACTTTCAGATTGGGTGAGAGCTGATTATTCTTGAGTCTGGTTAATTAGGCCATTTTCTCTGCTTTTGTAGATGTTATATAATAAAAAGTTAAAAACAACCACTGCATGCCTTTTCTATGGTAAGAGGAGGAGGAGGAAAGGATAGAGGGCCATCAGCAGCAAACATGTATGATGAAGGATAGGTGAGGGACCGAGGACAAACATGTATGGGATGGGAGCTTTTCCAGAGCATGTGTGATGGAGTAGGTGACCTTTTCTGATGTTGCGGAGTCTCACAGGGAGTTGAGGTTGGCAGATGTTTGTGTGGTCACTATGCACCATGATGTGAGCTGAGCAGATGCTTGTGCAGTTGGGGGTTTGGAGGGAAGGTTGTCATGAGGGACTGCTTCGCCCCTCCCCTGGGTGGTGTGACTTGGTGTCAAGGTATGTTGTTGTTTATTAATATATTTGATTTGTAAAGAACTGACACAAATCTCAGTAGATAATGTAAATAGGAAAGAAAGCCATTAACATGAAAAAATGGTTACACTCCTGGTTATCTAAGGAAATACAAATTAAAATGAAATATATTTTGTTCCTTGTTGAATTAGCAAATATTTCTAAAAAAATGGAACTCACTGCTGGCGAGAATATAGTAGATGTCCCCATTGTGGTTGACCTCTATCCTTGGGAAAGTAGTCTGATTGAAAGTGTAATTCAGTGCCTTTGCTCCATGAGCTGCCTCTAGAAATCTGTGCTGAGGACTCTCAGCTGGAAAAGGGGTCAGGAGCATGGCAGATAGAGGATAGAGGGTATGCCTACACAGTGCTTGGAACACAGCAGGCATCTGGGTGTGAGAACTACAGTGTCTCTTTTCTCTATTGTTTTCCAAATGTTCTGTTATGAGCCTGATTGGGAAATAAGTTTGAAGCTTTGTTTGAAAATGAAGTAAGTTGAAAACTCCACAGAGGCAGCCAGAACCCTTACTCATCTGGCCATATCCTATCTTTATAGCCTCTTTTCCTGTAATGGCCCTCCTCCAGGCTTCATCTCGCCATTCCAAATGTTGGCACAATGTAATGATTCTCGTTTCCATTTTGTTAGGCACAGTGTGAGTACTCTGTAGGTTGGTATTGGTTCCTTTAGTCCTCATAACCCCTGGGAGGTTGGTGTCATTCCTACTTTACAGAAAAGAAAAAGGAGATTCCAAAAGGATAAATAATGCCATACACTAGCAGGAAACTGAGCAAGAGATGGGATCCAGCTGGCACTGATGCCCTTCATGGCATCCATACATTAGCTTGGCAGTTCCCTTCGCCTGGATGCCCTTTGCTTTGCTAGGGCTGATCCCTACCACTTGTTGAAGCCTAATCACCTCACATGCTACCTGCCTCCTGAAACCTTTCCTCTATCCCCTTAGGAGGTGTGTTATTTCTTCTGCTTCCAGCACATGTCATGGCACTAGAGCTGGTTTTATTCTGCCCTTTGTTATGACAGCTGGTTGTTTACATGTCCCTACCAGGTCATGAGCTACCAAAAACCCCACTTCCCTGTTTTTCCCCAGGTGTAGAGCTCCAATGGTGGAAAATCAGGGCATGAAGGAAGATGCTGTATTTTTTAATGTCTTGTTTTTCCTCTGATCTGTGTGCAGGTCTGTGGTCTTACTGACTGGTTAAGCAGTTGAGTAGTTAGCAAGGCATTGCCAGCTCCAGACTCCACTCATGTCCCCAATTTAAGAACATTTGCTTGGTCTCTCTGGGCATCAGTTTCTGAGTGGTAAAGTGAGAGGAGTTGGCCTTGGTGATCTGTTGAGATAGCTTCTAACCTTAAAAATGCCATATAGGATTATGGTTGTTTTTATAGTAGTAGCTTAATAGAGATCATTAGTATAAATTTTTAGCACTTGAACATTTAAGGAGTTTAACACTTAATTTAACTTAATCTATCCAAGCAGCCCTGTGTAATGGGTGAAGAAACAGGCTCAGAGTTAACTTGTCCATGGTCACACATCTTATACACAAATGATGTGAACTTCAAATTTCCTTTTAAAATCAGAGTTTGCTTTCAAATTTAATTTCTTAGGATGCTTTTCTAAGGGGTATTCAGAGTATGTCCTTTTCCAGTGTCCCAAAGCATGGTCATGCATTGTCCCATGATTCTGATATGACAAGGAAATGTTAGCATTGGTTCCTTGGCAATCTGTGGATTTAACACATCATTCTCTTTGTTCCAGGGTGCTGTGCTAGGTTTTCTGCTCGTAGCAGTCTCTACATTCACTCCAAGAAACACCTGCAGGACGTGGTTGCTCCAAAAAGCCGTTGCCCGGTCTCCAGCTGTAATAGACTCTTCACCTCCAAGCACAGCATGAAGGCACATGTGGTCAGGCAGCACAGCCGGCACCCAGGTTGGCTTGATTTATGTCTCTCATGGAGCTACAAGGATGAGTATGCTCGATCTGTGTCAGAGAAGCGAAAGGATGCCATTCCTTCTTTAGCTCCTTTCAGAAGCTGCCTGAGCCTAGGTTAAGATAATCTAGTGCAGTGAGATCTTACTAGCCCAGGGACCATGGCTGCCAAGCTTGGTGGCCTCTTTTGTACTCGACTGCCTCTTCTTGCCTCTGTCTCCCTATACCTTCTTTGTCTGAAGTTTTTACTTTGAAGAATGTTCAGTATTCCACATTGTTGGTTTTTCCTATCATATATCTCCTAAATCTATCCCTCTGTGACCTCTGTCTTAAGTTCTGAGCCTGCTCCTACACTATTTTTATCTTCTTCAGCTCCTCTTTCTAAGTACTGTGGTTCTTTTTTTTTTTTTTTTTTTCATTTATCTTCAGATAGAGCGGGAGGGAGAGAGGGAGGAAGAGAGAGAGAAACATTGATGTGAGAGAGGCACATCTAGTGGCTGCCACCCACACGATCCCAGCTGGGGCCGGGGACAGACTGCAACTGAGGTACATGCCCTTAGCAGGAACTGAACTTGGGCCTCTGTGATCCACGGGGTGATGCTCTAACCATTTAGCAAACCAGCCAGGGTAGTCCCATGGTTCTTTCTGAACACACCCTTCTGTCTCCTCTTGTCCATTCTGCTGCTGAGAAAAGTCCTTGAAAACAAGAAGTTTTCACAGTTGTGTTTTAGGACGTGGATGGGGCAGGGGCGTGAGAACTGAGGGAACCATGACAGTGCTCCAGAGGGGGAGTCTGGGCACATGAGGACTTGTTTATCTGGCTACAGGGTGGCATGGAACTTAGAATCCTGCTTCTTGAGGCTACATGCACAGTCCTATAGTCAGGATGTTGAGGGGTCTGGGTGGCCACATAGCTGCTTCCCCTAGAGCGTTCATATCACCCTGCTCTCTGGGGCATTGGTGGGGTTGCGGTGCCTAGCAGGTCCTGGCTGGTGAAATCCTGGCTAGCTATAGAGTTACCTGAACGTGTTGTTAACCAGGCCCTGCTAATTGCCACCTGTGTGACAGGTAGCACCCATCTTGGGGCTCAGCCATCTTCCCAGTGTGTGATCCTAGGCAGGGCACAGGTCTGCCAGCCCTGGTTTTCTCATCTTTCAAACACAGAATTTGAGTGGTTCTCAGAATGATAAGTCTTGTTAAAGTGCCTAGAGCAGAACTTGATGAGTAGTTTAGTTCAGTGAATGTTTGTGCCCTTCCTTTGTCTTTTAATCCTGTTTAGTGTGGTCACTTCTCTCTTTTGACTGTAACAGTGATTGCTATTCAGCTTTGTATTTAAAGAAGCTGCCTTTCTGCTCCTGCCCAGCTCAGAGCTGGTTTTCTGTGATATAAGCACCTGGCCTCTCTGCTCCTTCCCCTTTCCTAGCCTGGATCTTTTGAAAGTCAGCAACAGCACCCTTTACTCTCTGGGTGTGAGAACCTTTCAGGTGCTTCTTTAGTGCTTATTTTCCAGGTTCCACATTTACGATGTGACATTGACTTACTCCTGTGTCATTCTTCCCTGCCACAGGTTAGGGGTAGAACACCAGGTGTTGACCCAGTGCTCACCTCATAAGAAATAGATGCTTGGGAACATCTATGTATTGTGGGCCGATTTTGCTAGGGGCTATGCTGCCCCTGGATTAGCTGTTTGATTTCCTCCTTACAGTGGTCCTAGGATTGGGGTCGGAGGGGTGTGGTCCTCATCACTCAGTCACTGACAAAAAGGCTGAAGTGGAAATGAAAGGATTTGCCTGAGGTCAAATAGGCAAAGAAGGGCTGGAGGCCAAGGTCATGATTGGAACCATATTGTACATGCTCTATTAATTAATGTTTTTTTTAGTGATTTTAATATTTAGTTCTTGCACATAGCAGGTCTCCAGTAAATATCTGTGGAATTAATAAAGTGCTAAATAGGAAATTTATGAACAAATTTGTATCTATTTACACTAAAATTATTATACTTAATCTCTTCATAGAGAGCTGGATCCTCAAGATTGTCAAGGGAATTATTATTTTTAATTTCTCCAAAGAATCACTGCCATTTTTTTTCAAAATGTTTTATTGGTATTAAGAGATACTTAATGAAGAAACAGTAATATATTGATTCTAGTTTTAAACTTTGAAGTAATAGGACAACTAAAGAAAATATATTTCAAATGTTTATTTCATTTTATTTTATTTTGGGGCTTTCTAGAGTAGATTCTTTCATAGGTTTGCATGAGAAATATAATAGGCACTCTGACCTCGTGTCCACAACCAGAAAGTATCAATTTGGGATTAGTTAGTTGGTGTTATGGGATCAATAGAGCCAGAAACTGAGAGCCTTTTCCCTCTGGCTGGGCCCTGGCACATTCTAGAAGCTGCAGGTAGGAATTTCTTACGAAAGAATAACATCAGCTCAGGCTGGTTTGGCTCAGCGGTTGGAGCATTAGCCTACAAAAGAAAGAATAACATCAGGTCCTCGTTTGGCTGCAGATTTGGGATGATTGGGTGAACTTGTGTATAAACCCCCAACTTGAATATTCATTGAAATTTTAAAAAATTGTAGTAATGTTCCCCCAAGGGTTTTCTGATTATTTAAGTTACTTAATTGGATAACAAATGATTAAATAATTAGAGTATCGGGACCAGTAAGTAAGACTAAGTGAAGAGGGATCTACTAAAATTGTTTCTACTATAATTATTAAATGCTGCTTAAAGGCCTGGTACTGAGGAACAAAGATGGACAGACAGACTCTGCATCCTCAAAATGATCATAGTAGGGTTTGGGTGGAGGAGTGTTAGAGGTCAGGAATACAATGGTGGTAGGGCGAAGGGAGTTCATCTCTAAAGTGCCTGGGGGACCTAATCTCTCAGTTCTCTGCAGCTCCCTAGAGCTGGGGTACACAGACCAAATTTTTTGCCACTGATCACTTCCAAGTGACTCAAACCTGTTTTGTAGTGGCAGCTAGTTGTGGAGTGGGGCCTAGAGTTTGATGAGACATGAGCTGATCCAAGCTTATTCTAAAATTATCCTCAGAACCAGAATTCACCTTTTACCTGATTCTGAAGATTGGTGGGCCATGGAAAGTTTTACAGTCTTTTCAGGTGTAACTTGTGGTACAGCAGAAAGAGTACAGGGTTCAAAGCCAGAAAAACACGGAATCAAGTCCTGTACCAATTAATGTGACTTAAGAAAATATTTAGACTCAGGTCATTTACTCCATCTGGAGAAATCCCTCTCAGCTCGAGGATTTGAGACAGCATATATAAAATGCCTGACATGTCATCATGTTGCCTTTGTTCAGTGTGTGGTCACTTTCAATGTGCCAGGCAGGAGGAGCAGGAAGAAGGCAGTAGATGTTGCCTTAATGGGTCACCTAACATCTTGAGTACAAATAAAACTTCTTAGTCTTCTAAGCATAAAATAACTAGTGCATTCATTCCCTTTTTCAGATCTCTTCCCTCAGGTAGGAGCTCCGAGTTCTCTTCCACTCAGCAGTGAACTAGGCAATCCAGGCCAAAGTGAGCTCAACAACATAGACCTGGCAGCGCTTTTCTCTGATGCACCTACTGATGGCAGTAGTGCAGCGGGAGCCTCGGATGAGGCGCTCACCTCTGGAATCCTGACTATTGATGTAACTTCTGTGAGCTCCTCTCTCGGAGGGAACCTCCCTAATAATAGTTCCTTAGGGCCAATGGACCCACTGGTCTTGGTGGCCCACAGTGACATTCCTCCAAGTCTGGACAGCCCTCTTGTTCTTGGGACAGCAGCCACAGTTCTTCAGCAAAGCGACTTCAATATGGATGATGTGCAGGCTGTAAGTGCAGGAGCATTAGACTGTCTGGTAGCTCTGCCTGTGAAGAACCTGAGTCAGGACCCACAGACTTTGACCTCCAGCAGCAATTTACCAGCGAACACCACCACACTGACCTCTTCAAGCACCCCACTGGGAAACACCAGTGTCCCAGAACTGCTGGCTTCAATCAAAGTAGAAACAGACTCACCTCCTGGCCTCAATGCTGTCAGGCAGCAAGAACAAAACAGAGAGGTGCCCCGGCCTGTGTTTTCCAGCCTTCCAGAACAGCACAGTCCTCAAAAAGACACGGGCCTCAGTGTAGGGACTGGCAACTTCTATTTGGTATGAAGTGCTATATTCAGTCACTACCACATAGCTTACTTCTCTTACATTCAATTTTGAGGATGTTTTGGATGAATCATTTATGTGCAGACATTTCCTACTCTTTGCGAAAGATTGGAGCCCTGGACTACAAGTTTGGAAATCTGAATTCTTATCCTGAGTTTGAACTCTGACTAGTTTTTACAATCTTGAGCAAATCACTTGACATGTCTGAGCCTTAAACTCTCATTTCTACAATAAGGGGGATTGGCTAGATGATTTCTAAGGTGGTTTTGAGTTCTGTGATTGTGTAATAATATGTTTCTTTTCTTGAAAAAAAATTGAGAGTATTTCATAATGTTGAAATAGTCTGCCTTTGTGCTTTTCACGTAATAACAAGTCCTTGGACTTACTAATAACCAGAGGAAGAGGAATTGTGACTTCAACTGTCTTTAAATGGAAACATTAAAATCATGCAAAACAATTTAAAAAAAAAAAACTAGAATTAAGGGGGGTAGGAGTGGTTTGTGAACCTTTGCTTTTGGAGGGTTATGAGTAGTTCTTCAGTTTTGAGGCTCAACAGTCAATATACTTTAATTATATTTGTCAGTTATACATTTAATATAATTAAAAAATTTTTTTTCTTTATTGATTTTAGAGAGAGAGGAAGGGAGAGGGGAGAGAGAGATAGAAGCATCAATGAGAGAGAACATTGATTAGCTGCCTCCCACATACCCTCCACTGGGGATTTGGCTTAAAATCTGGGCATGTGCCCTGACCAGGAACCGAACTGGCAGCCTCTTGGTGCATGGGCCAGTGCTTAACCACTGAGCCACACCGGCCGGGCACATTTAATATTATTTAAAAATAATTTAAAGATTCTTTGGGGAATCTGACTTTTTCTTCAGGTTCAGATGGGAATGATCAAATAGTTTTTTTTCTTTGCGGCACAGGTTAAATTTGAGGGTGATAGTGTTAAAAACGTTAAATCTTATTTTGCCACAATATTTTTAAAAAGCTGAGTCCTTTATTTCAGGATCAGTTTTGAGGGATGTGATTAACTCATATACCATAGAGATTGCTTTTATGTCTTTGAGAGAAGCTCTGTCTCTGTCAAGCCTCTTCTGGTGTCTTGTTTGTTGTTGGGGACATAGCCACATATGCTAACCTCTGCTTTGGCAGCAGCAGCAGTTGCCAGGTGTGCAGGTGCTTGGGCTAGGAAGGGAATGGCCAAGGCCCAGAGGTTTGTGGGGAGTCAGTGCCTGAGTACAGGGCCTCATTGCCTCGGGAAACAGTCATTCTCTGGTCTCACTGCATCATCAGAGACCTAAGTGTGGGTGGAGGCAGGAGGAGCCACCATGACCTTGATCCTGACCCCTTGTTCATTTTCTCACTAGCTGTGTGACGTTGGGCAGCCTCGATTCTCTGAGCACAGATGGTGTGTGGTGAATGGGTTACAGGTATGCCATGAGCTGTTTAGGGCTGTTCTTTTTGTAGAAGTATTAAACTCTTTTTTATAAAACATTCACAAATTTATAGCAGTTGAAGTCCTATTTAAATATTGTTTGGCTCCTTCAGTAAATAAACTTCCTGAATTCAATAACCAATTATTGTTTTAGTGTGTAGGATACTGATTTGACCACCTGCCACCAGAGCGGCCTCTGCAGTGGGTATATGAAATTGGACCTCCCTAGGTCTGCCATACAAGTATTGTGTGGTATGCTCTGAAAAATGTTGAAGTGAATTCATTCTGCAGTGGATTATTCCTGAGTCACTGAGGGAAGGCTGGTTATTTGTTTCAGACAGCAGAGAAGTATGTAATTAATTTTTAACAGTTTCTATGTAAAAGATTTCAGTGTTTTAGACTTTGGAGGAATAAACTTAGCTTCTCTGGATAATAAAATTATGTGTATTGTTCCAACTCTGATTTTGTGTAGCTATCACTATAATTGGATGTAGCATTTGATTGTCGGTGAGCTTTTGCTGGAGATTGTCGGTATTGGACTCTACTCTGGTCAGGAAGCAGACTTAACTACGTTTCAGTAGTTTCTTTGCTACCCTCCCTTTGCTGTTTGGGTCAAGTGACTGACACCCTTTTCTTTGATCTCAGGAAAGTGGGGGCTCAGCAAGAACTGATTCCCAAGCCATTCATCTAGCCAAGAAAAAAAAGAAAGGAACTGGGAACAATGCAGGTGAGGCTGTGTATGCTATAGTGCTGGGGAAGTGAGGGTACCGAGAGTTACTTTGGGGCTTAATTAGGGACAGAAGAAACACATAAAATGGGTGTTTCTATGTTATTTGTGTTACTTTATGTTCAAAATGCCCTTTTATCAGCTCCTTAGTTTTAGGTGAATTTAAGAAAAATCAGTTACTGGCAAAATTCCCAGCATCAGTATGGACATATTTTATTTACTTAACGAAAGCTGAGTGAAAGTTAATTGTTGCAAACGTCAGTGTCTATTACCAGGTAGTATGCAAAGTGAAGAGCAGAGCAAACCAGATGTCAGAAAAGTAGAGGTAGAAATCTGATGCTACATGGCTGCTGGCCCTTGAGCTTGGCATTGAGAAGACCCTGAGGACGGACTGCTGCTGTCCCCAGAGCCAGCCCCTAGGTGGCATGAGGCATTATGGGTACTCAGTTTAGAGTTTTGTTTAAATCTTTTAGCTTTAAAACATCAGCAACTTTTTGAATTTTTAAAAAGCACTAAGTGGACCCAACAAGACCTGCTAGTTTGTAGCCTCACACGCCTATCTGTCCATCCATCTTGAAAGTGGAATAGAATTAAGAGGGAAATGGTAAATTCTTTTGTAAAGGTAACTGAATTATTTTTAATATTTATATATTTTATTTGTTTTTTATATTTATCTAAAATGTATTTTTAAAATGTGGGGGTATGTAGGATTAGCAGTGTAATTTTATATATGTCTACATTTAATAATATAGGGCTTTCTCTTTAAAATAGTAATAACTTCACATTTTTTGATCAGTTCTCTTAAAGCAAATATTGTCCTATGAGGAATGTTGTACATGTCAGTGTTTATTGTGACTGAGGAAGGGTTACCTCCACAGTTCACAACATACCAAAGTAGGACTTTTAGAGACAATAATAAAAGAAAGTGTGGTGGTGGTGGTGATCATAGAATGAAAGAATTCAGCATATATTAGGCAAAGTTAATGAAGGAAACCAAATGCTAAGTTATTTAACCTGATAGGTTATCTCAGCCTGAAGGGGAAAAAAATACTATAAACATTCAAGTATATAATACATTGTTTTGGAGAAGCATTTATAGATGTGGTTTTATATTTTATATATTTTAAAAAATATTTCAGCATTATCTTTAATATCTTTTCAGGGACACTAAGAAAACATAGCCATAATTTAATCATACTATCATCGCTTCATTAAAAATTAACACTATTTTCTTAATATCAATATCTAGCAAGTGTTCAACTTTTGTCTCAAATCCCATAAATGTTTTTAATAACTGAATCAGGATCCAAATGAGGTTCATATGTTACTATCTATTGGCATGTTTCTTCAGTTTCTTTTACATTTATAGGTTTCTCCTTTCATCTCTCCTGTGTATTTGTTGAAGAATCTGGCCAGTGTGAATTTTGATGATTATATCAGTGTAATGTAGTTTAACAGTTTTCTGTCTTATATGTTTCCTGTAAATTAGTAATTACATCTATAGGCTTGATCTGATTGAAGTGTGCATCTTCGGGGGAAGGGGATTAGCAAAACTTCTTTGCATCTGGAGGGCTCTTCAAGGGTGTCTTGACTTCTGGTGGTTTGTCCTGTGTTGTTAGTAGTTATTGATGACCAGTGACTGGATCTATTAGGGGTTGCAGACAGATGATATTCTGTCATTCCTTTCTCATTACTAGCTAGAATACTTCTGTAAAGAGCAGCTTCTCATCAGTTTTTTTTTTGTTTGTTTGTTTGTTTTAACCCTGATACAGTTCATATAGCAAAGTCAGGATAAATATTTGAATCTTTTTGTTTATCAGTTTTCAAAATAATAAGCAGGTTTCTTAGCATCTTACAGTAGTGGTCAAAGTGTTTTTATACACCATTGATTTAAACATTTTATAGATATTTATGGAAACTAGAAATCTGGAACCTGCCAAGTATTCGGCCTTCATATGTGAAAGCAGCAGAAGAATTTTCATTAAGTGCAAAGGCTCACCTTTTGCCACTCACATACTGTCCTTGGAAAGCCCTCTTGAAGTAATGTAACCAGCTGAGAGATAGAGGAATGTAAATATAGGTCCACAGTCCCTTTTCCAGAATTCTTGGGGCTGTGTTTGTCCCTTCAGACATTTTATTTTGCCAGAACTTTAGAGTCTGCAGAAAAATGGTTCCCTCACTTGCACTATTTCATACATATTGTCACTTATTTGTGTCCTCCATTTGTGGCTTGACCCAGCGTCCCCTCAGATTAGCTTCCCCCACATTGGTGGTGCATTGACCTAACTCATGATTATGGACTACAGACTTCATTTGGATTCGACTAGTTTCCCACTAGTGTCTTTTCTGTTCCAGGACCTTGTTTGGGATCCGATGCTGCATTTGGTTGTAATGATGTCTTAGACTCTTCCTGTCTGTGTCTGTTCCTCAACCCTTCCTTGCCTTTCATGATGCCTGTGAAGAGTGCTGGTTCCTTAGTGTTAAATGCCCCTCTGTTGGGTCTGTCTGATGCTTTTCCTTGATTTGACTGGAATTATGTACCCTCTGGAGCCAAAGTGAGGTGTATTTCTCGTTGCAGTTGCATCGTATCAAGGTACATGTAATCAGTATATAATTACAGGTTATGATCATCTTGATCACTGGATTAAGGTATTGTCTGCCGGGTTTTTCCATTGTGAAGTTACTAATTTCCCTTTGTAATTAATAAATATATGTTTTTAGGTAGGTACTTTGAGATGCTGTGCAAATCTCAAGGGTCTGTAAGATCACCCTCACTTCTTACATCTAGTTGCAAGTTTGATGGTCTCCAAGACTACTCTTAGGTTCAATAATTTTCTGTTTTTGATTTTTATTTAATTTTTATTGTTGAGAGTATTACAGATGTATCTCATTTTCCCCAGTTTGCCCTCCACCCATCTCCTACCCCACCCCAGGCCTTCACCTATTGTCTGTGTCCATGGGTTATGCATATATTCATTGATTAATCTCTTCCCTCCCTTCTTGCCATCTTTCCTCTCAGTCCTTAGTCTGTTTCACGCTTCCATGTCTGAGAATCTATTTTGTTCGTCAGTTTATTTTGTTCCTTAGATTCCACATATAAGTGAAATCATATGATGCTTGATTTCTCTGCCTGGCTTATTTCACTTAGCATAATAATCTCCAGGTCCATCCATGCTGTCTCAAAGGATAAGAGATCCTCCTTCCCTTCTAGCTGCATAGTGTTCCCTGGTATAAATGTATTACAGCTTTTTTATCCACTCATCGACTGATGTGCATTTGGGATGTTTCCAGATCTTAGCTATTGTAAATAGTGCTGCTATGAACATAGGGGTACATATATTCTTTCTGATTAGTGTTTCAGGCTTCTTTGGATATATTCCTAGATCACTGGGTCAAATGGCAGTTCAATTTTTAATTGTTTGAGGAAACACTATATTGTTTTCCATAGTTGTTGCACCAGTCTGCATTCCCACCAGCAGTGTACTAGAGTCCCATTTTCTCCACACCCTCGCCAGCACTTGTTCTTTGATGATTTGTTGATGGCAGCCATTCTGATAGATGTGAGGTGAAACCTCATAGTTGTTCTAATTTGCATCTCTCTGTTGATTAGTGATGTTGAACATTTTTTCATATGTCTCTTGGTCATTTGTATGTCCTGTTGGGGAGGATGTCTGTTTAGATCCTCTACCCGTTTTTTAATTGGATTCTTTGTCTTCCTTTTGTTGAGTTGTATGAGTACTCTATATATTTTGGAGATTAATACCTTATCTGATTTATCGTTGGCAGTTATGCTTTCCCATATAGTGGGTTCCTTTCCATTTTGATGCTTGTTTCTTTTGCTGTGCAGAAGCTTTTTAGTTTAATGTAGTCCCATGTATTCATTTTTATCCTTTGTTTCTCTTGCCTTAGGCATTGCATCAGTGAAAATTCTGCTGCGTGTGATGTCTGAAATTTTGTTGCCTACATTTTCTTCTAGGATTTTTATGGATTCACGAGTTATTTAAGTCTTTTATCCATTTTGAGTTTACTCTTGGGTATGGTATAAGTTGGTGATCTAACTTCATTTTTTTGCGTGTAGCTGTCCAATTTTTTCAACACCACTTACTTATTTTTAATTTTTTTCTCCTTTATTGATTTTAGAGAGAGAGGAAGGGAGGGGGAGAGAGAGAAAAAAACATTGATGAGAGAACATCGATTGGCTGCCTCCTGCATGCCCCCACTGGGGATCAGGCCTACAACCTGGGGCATGTGTCTTGGGTCAATTTCTGGGTTCTCTGTTCTGTTCCATTGATCAATATATCTGTTCTTGTGCCAGTACCAGGCTGTTTTGATTATAATGGCTTTGTAGTATAACCTGATATTCAGTGCTGTGATTCCTACTTCTCTGTCTTTTTCAAGATTGCTGTGGCTATTTGGGGTCTTTATTGGTTCCATATAAACTTTTGCAGTATTTGTTTTAGTTTTGTGAAATGTCGTTAGAATTTCAGTGGGGATTGTATTGAATCTATAGATTGGTTTGGGTAGTATAGACATTTTAATGATGTTAATTCTTTCAACTCATGATCAAGGTTTATGCGTCCACATTTTTATATCTTCCTCTATTTCTTTTTTCCAATGTCCTGTAGTTTTCTGAGAACAAGTCCTGTACTTTGGTTAAGTTTATTCCTAGATACCTTAGTTTTTTTGCTACATTAGTAAATGGGATTTTTTTAGTTTCTCTTTCTGTGAGTTCAGTATTGCTGTATACGAATGCTATCAATTTCTTGATGTTAATTTTGTATCCTGCTGCTTTGCCAGATTCATATATTAAATTTCATAGATTTTTGTATTAAATCTCAGATTTTTGATGGAGTGTGTAGGGTTTTCTATGTACAATATCATGTCATCTGCAAATAATGACAGTTTCACTTCCTTCTTTCCAATTTGGATCCCTTTTATTTTTTCTTCATGTCTAATTGCTGTGGCTAAGACTTATGAATTATGTTAAGAGTGGCGAACGT